CTGTGTCACCAGCAAACTTGCTGACAGTGCATTGGGTTCCCTCACACAGGTCACTCATGACTATACTGAATAGTGCTGGTCCCGGTACTGACACCTGAGGGACTCCACTAAATACCACCCTCATAGTAAAGAACTTCTTTACCTTTCTCACCCTGCTGGCCACGCTGCTTTGGACGCAGCCCGATAATCACGGTTCCCATTTCCTGATGTTAGTTAAAGCTTAGTTTGCCAAGTCGCATTGATCCAATTTGAATCCTATTCTACACATGAGGAAACACTTCTTGAACTGCAAGCACGCTGGAGCCCTGGCCCAGGCTGCCCAGGGAGGGTGTGGAATCTCCGTCTCTGGAGACTCTCAAAACCCACCTGGACGCGTTCCTGTGGGACCTGCCCTGGGTGACCCTGCTCTGGCAGGGGGTTGGACAAGATAGTCTTCAGAGGTCCCTTCCAGCCCCTGACATTCTGCGATTAGCTGTGATTTGAAAACTAGATCCCCTCTCAAGACAAAAGTGATGACTGGCATTTTACTAATCTCTTTCTCATCTTTTAACTCAAGAAAAATATACTTCAAAATGCACACCACAACTGTCTTAAAATGTTACTGCATTGGCTTTCCTTCAAAAAAAAATCAACAGTAACAAACCACCAATGCATTTAATAGTGTTAATATATCCCAGTTAACTGTGGAGTTCACTAGAGCAGGACTGGTTCGATAGACACCTCATGCTATTACCACACCCATCACTCTGATGCTGTCCCGTAAGCCATGCAGTGCGGGAGAGTCATATGGACACTGGTGGCAGTATTTATCCAGAAAGACAACTGTGGAGTAAAGAAAGGGCTGCACACACCAGAAAAAGAATGCAAGACTTACCCCCTAAGCAAAACTTCTAGAACTTTAATTCTTGTTACTTCATCTCTAAACACTTACACATACATAGCATGAAAACACTTGAATGGAAACAGCAAACCGGTAACTAGTGTTTTCAGACTCTGATGAGCAAAGAGTAAGAGACTGGAGAAATCACGGCACATTTACAGATGAAAACATATCTGCAGCTTCCAATTATTCAACAGATAACATGTTTTTGCAAATACTGTGGCGTAAGTATGGCAGTTAAATCACCTAATAAATTTAAGCGTATTGCCACCTTGATGTGCCTCCAGTAAACACTGAAAACATAAACTTTTTAATATAATTGCTACAGTATCTCCGTTCCCAAATAATAACTACAAATGGTTTGCTAAGGCTGTGTGTTACCCCCCTCACCCAGGGCAGTGGTACATTAAAATGTGGATTAGACATTTACTAAAAATTAGCACAAAGTTGAGGTAACGGGTAAGAGCAACAGCAGCATCGGCACACTGTTTGCTAATTGGCCTCTGATTATCAAACCAGTATCTGGTTTTTTATGGTCTATCATCCTAGTTTACATTTGCGCAACTGTATAAATTAGAAAACTTCAACTTGGAAAAATTCTACATTAAAGAGATGCTACCTCTAAACCCCTCAAAATGACAGTCTTAGTAGTCCTGTTAGTCATTTTAAGATACACAGACAACTTGTAGTTTGGGAAAGAAATTGTTACCTCCAAAGCTGCCTCAACATGTTTTCTACTATAAGCAGAGGAAACATTTAACTGAAAAACACAGTGGATGTGGTAGAGAAGACCGAGGCAAAGGAAACCATTACTAGTTCCACCCCTGAACTTCAGTTTGGGTGGCAGAGACGAAAGAGGTGATTTCAGCAAACACGTAGTACTACTGGTAGCTCTCACGTTGATCCCTGGTTTAGTACACACGTCACACAATTTCTTCATAGGTGGTTTGCTTGGTTTTATTCCCCCAGGAACTGACAAACTGATGCTCTTGGGTGTCTGCTTTACCAGACTGCTGTTCAACAAATCCTGGAGCTGTTCCTCATCTTCTCCCACACAGGTCACCAGAAGGATCTTTTTTCTTCTGCTCTTTCCCAGGTGCGTTTCAGCAGATACACCGCAGCGTGGAGCCCGCCCACGTTCACCCACACCGTCTGCGCTTTGCGCCAGATGTGTCCCATTCGTGACAAGGCCTGCAATCCAAAAACACAACCAAAGAGCGGTGGCGGCTTCAAGGTGAGATAATAAACGGTAAACTCACTTTAGAAATTATTTCTCATTATTCTAAATCACACCTGATGGCAACATCAAGTGGCTCTTCTAGTGCAAAACCCTGTTTACATGTTACTAATTATTACTGAAAAAATATAGTTTTCAGTAATGAAGTCAGCTTATTGGGTTTTTTTTCCTCAATATATTTTCAAGTGTAAGTAGGTTTGACTTCCTGTCACAGAACATACCTTGGCAAAGCATTTCTTGTCCTGCGTAAGCAGCGCGGCCCGGCCTGTCCCCGGCGTGCAGATGCGGCCCATCTCCATCAGGCAGGCTGGGTAGAGATCCCAGTTCTTCTTCTTTGACCCAATCCTGCAAAATAAATTCAGATACCCTTTGTGATTGCTGAAAATTAACTGCTGTTGGTCTTTCAGGCGTGGATTACTTGTTCAAGATGGCATATACTACTAATTTCAACCTGCATTTTTAATATAGAGTACAATACCCCTTAATTAGGCTCCTAACTAGAGAGAACCCCAAGGCAGGAGAGGTGAGCACATGCAGTGGCGGCAGCTAAGGGCGGTCACTTCACCGGTGACAGCTCTCACCTCTTTCCAAAGGGCATGTCTGTCACGATGATGTCCACAGAACCGGTCCGCAAGGGCAGATTGCAAATATCCCACTGGATGATGTCTAAGGGTATGCCCAGGGAAGTGCTGCTGCAAGCGCAAAGACAGTTATCTCAGACACGGTTTACTGAGAGTAATTTTAAATTGAGGAGGTCTATGTTAGCTAAAGAATAAACAGAAAAATACGGACAAGGTAGTTAAACGCATCAACGCAAAATGGATTTCTTTACATAAAATACTAGGGTGAAAGAAAAATCACTTGTGCTCTGCTCACCTTTCCTTATTCTCGTTTTTCTTTAGCAAAGAACAGATGTTGTTTGCTGCCCTCTTCACAGCCTGTGGGTTGTTATCACCAGCAATATGGTAGCAGCCAGGCCATTCTGTAGCTCCCTGGGCAGAAAGCAGTGATGATAAGAAACACTAGCAGCATTGGTTTAGCTTAAACCAAAACCAAGAGAAGAATTACTCAAAGATGACAGAATACAACAAAGCAACTGGAAATGGATGTCAGTGTAATGGATCTCTGTTATAGGTATTACACACCTTAAAAGCTCAAAATACTTTTGAATTTAGTTTCTGCTACAGCTTTGGGAAGGAAAAGGAGGTCATTTAAAAAATTTTAAAAGCTGCAAGATACTTTTGGAGTTAACTTTTCAGTTACTCCCAAGGAAATTATCACTCATTCAGTTGTAGATATACTGTCAGGGCTTTTCAAGTTAAAAAATGAAGGAAGAATCACCTCTATGGGTATCGCGCCCGTCCCGCACATGGGATCCACGATGATATCTGTTGGCTGTGGATCACAGAGTCTGAGGAACAGCAAAAAGATACAGTGAGAAAAAGTCTTAAAAATAGAAAGAAAATTGAACTATTTTAATCACCCTGATTCTACCCTTCTAACAAGAAAAGCTTCTATGGGATTACATTTTCCATTTGTTAAACAGCATTTTGTAAGCAGCAATACAATTAAACACTTTCAAGAACGTGATACAGTATTTTCACTCTTGGCTAACACAGCAGATGTTTGCTTACCGGGAAACACGCCCTGTTAATTACAAAGCATACCCTTTCAGCAACCCTGTACTTTTTTGTGCCTTTGGTTTTTGAGGAAGCAACAGGGGAACAAAGGATCTAGTTTCTGAAACAACGTGACGTGTTAGCTGAGAATAACGCAACTGCACTGACCTAAGCATGCCATAAGCCAGTGTTGAACGAAGAGTTGTGGGTCCAAAATGGGTAATATTTCGTCTGTGCAGACTCTCCTCAGTTAGTGCAATACCCACAACTACTTCATTGTTGTGAATATTCAGAAGAACCTAAAGAAAAAAATCAAACTAAATTTCAGGAATAACGGAAGGTTTCCATAGTATGCCTGCTGAATATCTACGAGAATCTGAGACGGTAGTTTAAAAACCAGGAACTAGGTAAAGAACACTCTTGGAGAAAAAGCAACACACCATTTTAGTGGCAACAACGGACAAAATTCACAAGAGCACTCGCACGTTTTCTCATTCACGCAGAATCTTTGACTTCAAAAAGTGCTACAACCATTATGCTTTTACAAGTTTTGTTTTATAAGCATGGGGGAGAAGTGAGCTGCAAGTGACAGAGCTATTGCCGTAACTGAGGGAGAGCAGAAAGCTTCTGAGCCGCTCAGCCGCCCCGAATGGGGTGGTGCCAGCTAACCTGAGGAGACGACAACCGTGTCTGTGGAGCTAGAGGGACCTGAGGAAGAGGAGAGGTGCCCCCGCTGGGCCACCAAAGAAGGTATAACTGTGGATAGCCAGAGCCCCAGCAAGCGGTGGGACCTGGGGATGCACATCACGTGCCAGCGAAGCAAATGCCTCTGAGGAGGCCGTGATTTCAGCATGACCAGCTTTCAGTCCCACAGACATCTTCTGAATGCATTTTGGAGCTCTCTACGCATCAGAAGTCAGAACTAAGAATTTCCGCGACAGCATTTCCAAGGCACAGCACTGTACCTCTACATCAAAGTTAGTCATGTCTGCTTTCCACTGGAAGTGCTCCTGCACAGCTCCGCCGAAGTCTCTTGCGGCATCGTTGGACGTGAAGCTGTGCTTGTCTCCTGCTCTGTTGCACGTCACGCGGAACTTCAGCACCTTCGCCCCTCCGTCACTCGTCTTACCGTCACCAGCCTTGGTCTCGTCCCCAGAACCTGCCTGCACCTCCTCCTTAGCATCGGATCGTCCATCCTCCTCCTCCTCCTCGTTTCGAGATGACGCTTCTTGCGTCTTTTCCGTGTCCTGGCCGCTGGCAGGTTCTAGCCCGGCAGCACTCTGGGCACAGTCCTCCTGTTGGCTGGCGTTGTCTTGACCTGTTCCCTCCTCCTCTCCACCCTCAGGCAACTTCTTTTTGCTTGCAGCACTCTGCAGATTATGTTTCTTACGTTTCGTCTTTTTCTTTTTCAAGCTGTTGTTCAGCTCCCAAATCTTCAAAGGACTGGTCCAAGGCAGCTTCTTAACCAAATCTTCCAAATCCTTCAGAGCATCTTCCTTTAAAAGACAAAAGAGTTGTGCTTTGAAGTCATTCGATCCCTTTAAAAACTGTCCTTTTTTTAAGTCTCTCGAGCTAGCTTTCTGAACGTGTAACCCACTACCCGTTTAAGGAAAGCTTACAGCTTTTTGTGCAGTTTTTGCCCTAACTAAACTGAACTGCACTTACAGTCCCAGGGCCCACAGTATTTAATCATTCATCTTGCCAAATAAACAGCTAAGACTGAATGAAGTGACCAAAGAGATACTTTACAGCCTCGTGTCTCAATGTGACTCACAAGGAAGGTTCTGGCTCTCACCCAGGATTTTGCCTCTGCAACACCTTTAGCTGAAGAAATGGAGCTACACAACATGACCCCACTTCCATCCTATGAGCGCGCAAGAAGGGCCCGAGGTAATATCACAAATAAAATAAACAGAAGGCTTGTTCGTGAAACAGAGTGCTTTCTGAAACTGTTCTTAAGCCGAGGAAAAACACACCTCCAAGCCCCAGAACCGACTGAAAAATTAGTAACTCACCTTTTTTTCTTTGAACTGATAGTCTTTGAACTCCTGAACAACCACAAATAAATTGTCCACTGACCTCAGGCGATGAACCTACAAGAAATGAGGAACCACTGGCTGGTTACCAGTGACACACGTGCAGGGGACTGCACTTACTGAAGTCACGATTTGTCACCTGACATCTAAGCAGACCACACTTCCCCATTTTTGTCTGTATGGGGGTTATCCCCATACGCGCAAAGCCAGAAGACT